AACTCCCTGTGGAATTACCAACACGCGCTGCGCGACTATCACCGCGCTTTAAAGCGGAGGGGCGTCAACTGCGCACGCGCGAGAATTGAGTCCCAAGCGACGATAGCAGCGCACGTTAAAAACGCAAAGACTCATGGGCAGATGCTTGTTTTAAAACAACGGCACACTATGGCCGTTTGCCGCATGCGCAGATGACGACTCCCCCGCTTTAAGTAGCACAGCATCGTATCAGAAGAAATCGTTTTGTAATATATTGTAATGAATTAAATAGTAATGTATTGTTTTGTATTGAACTGTCGTTGATATATATTCGGTATATACATACTCACCAGTTGTTATTTTCAGAACACAAACACATATTTGAGGCTAATAGAAACATGTTCAGTAATTCATGTATGGATACCATCACAGCAGCTTTTGACAGTGTCCTGTGTTTTTTGTTAACGTCAGTCTTTACCCGCTATATCAGGTCAAGTGGTCTTATTGTAATTAACGCGCTATGCAAGATTACTTACTTATGATCTTAAATAACGCATGTAGATTCGATGAAGATCGTTTTTTGTTTAATACTAGTATTCAAATTTGTGCTACGTAGTCTAAGCCGTGATTTTAAAGTACATGGCTTGATAAAGTACATCCAACCATATTTATGGAGATAGCTAAGTGATATGAACATACGACTTATTGTTGACATGCAAACCTTGATTTTTATATTAATCTTGTGTGGTTATAAATCACTGTCTTTACGTTATTTGTTTTGATCTCGTAAATTACTGAGTCAACATTAAGTGCACTTAAATGGAAAACACTCAAGTAGATGTCACCCTCGGATTCAGTTTTGATTAATTCAATGGAAATGTCTCTCATCCCCACAGAAGTGGATACGGCGATCGAATAGCGTAGTCGTTCTGAAAACACTCTCGCGGTTATTACTATTACTTACACGGTGAATCCGTTACGGAAATTATTGGGTTGGAGGTTGAATATGTCACAAATGTACTTGAAGTTCCTAATTGCACCGTTAATTTGTATATTATTTCATCAAGCATTGCTACTTGTCCATCAAATACGAAATGGTAATTGGTTATTTTTTTTATTATTTGAAAATGACTCAAATGATTCTGACGATAAATGAGAAGAAAATAGCTTTACAACAGAAACTATTATCAACATGTGAGTGTCATTGAGCATGGCTGACTAAAGACATGTTTTCTTGATAGCAATGTTCATGCAAATGTTTTCCAAGCATGTCTGGATCAGTTCCGTTAAAATTGGAACTCAACATTTCCCGATCAACAATTCGTCAGAAATAGCTTTCTCGACTACAAAATACGAACTTCGGAACGTGTACCAGCATTTGTGCTGTTAATGATGATGTTTTCATTTTCCTTTGCAAATAAAATGTGATATTATTCATCGAACAACAGAAAATGGCGTGTGAATGACCTACTCACCTTTTGGAGGGCAGAACTCATTCTGAAAACCACACGCTGGGACATCCGGTGGCGGTCCTGTAGCGCCTCCTGGCCAGTGAATATCAGCCACTTTTTCCACTGCCTTCCTATCACCATAGTAATTGAGAACAACCTAAAGAATGCAAATAAGTGTCTAATTTGACGTCTCGATTTGTTTCAACCATGCGCAGTCTACGTAAGTGTACTACAAGTTTTCATTCAAGCTCGATCGCAGACAATCGTGTTTCCTTTAATAAAGTAATCAATTTACAAAGATGCTGTATCTAATTGGGCTTTGGTGAAAATCAATCTGATAATCTGTGTTTAAGTCAAAATTTCACATTTTATTAATATTCTTTTCCATAGAAATACACGTATATAGTATATACATTGAACATTTCTTGAAATTCAATTGTTGTAAAATGTTTAAAAAGCGTAAACTAGAGCTGTGAAACAATCGCTGTCAACACGTGTAGATGTTGATTTTTATGTTTTATAGCACATTAAACAAGAGAAAGTTTCTTAGCGTAAATATTGTATGGTATAATAATAATGACCAAAGTCCTACCTCGAATGTACCTCTTTCCGGGTCAGTCATGTCCAGCAAAGAGTAGTCAGCATCGCGGTCGCCATTACCGTCGATCGTGACGTTACCTGTTATACCTATAAAAAACAATACCAGGTTCGACGTACAGTGTATTAGCAACTGTGACATGTACAAGTAGGTTTAGGATGGGTAGGTTATTGTTTTTGCATATATCGTTGTTAAACATGAAGTTTTCTCAGCTATTACGGTATTTCTCTGAACTTTGTACAAGCATAACACGTCGCAGGAAATAGCCATGCGTGTAGGCAATGTTAGTGTGTACCTTCGAATGTCCTATTCCACATCCGCCTGGTAATTTTCATACCATTTCGGGGATCTTCTCCGGCAGCGAGAGTCTCGTTCAACGCGAGAGCGTATAAAATTACAGCGTCATGGAAGGCACCAACAAAATTGTTTACCTGGAAAATGAGATTAGATAAGCTGGTATTGTTTGCGACATGATTTAAGCACTCATTTTAATGTTACATTTACTGCTGAAGCGTTTCCACAGATTTCGGAAAAAATACACGTGTTAGAAACTACAGCTAGTTTTGTAGACTTACAAGACGCCATTGCCAACTCACACTCACATAAAAAATATGTTCTAGCAAATGTAGTACTAATTTAACTTTAATAGAATTTAGTAAAACAAATTTCATATTTCTCTCATCGTTACCGAACGTCAATTTGTGTAAACAGATACACCACCTGGGCCGACGGCGGCAGGTGCCGAGGTAAGCCGAGGTAGCCCATCTAGAGCCAATGAGTAATGCTGTCTGCAGTAAAGTTGACAAAACCATCGTTTAATTGATTGACAAATACATAATTGCGCGAGAGACAGAGATATCTTGTTCGATAACAATTTATACGTTTAGTTGATTACCGTAACTCAATTTCAATGCAAAGAACACTGGATGTAAGGTCAGGAGTTCAACTTGATCCATCAATCGTTATTCAACATTGCATAGCACTACATAGACGAAGGAATAATACAAATTCGACATGTCGCCACGATGTCGGTACACCTACTTATATGTTCGTTGGCCAACCTTGATCTGTAACGCCAATTATATAAATGAGCGCCGATTGAGCACCTGCGTTTTATAGTATTCAATTCTTTTTGCTGTAATAATTTATTTATATATTTATCCATTTACTCGTTACCCGATCTTTGGATTTGCACAGACCACAACACAATACAAAGTAGATTTTCGCAGTTACACGTACTCAGCCAAAGACGCTAAATTGTGTCGTTTCTGGAACGCCACGTCGTTGTATAATATTTATATAACGCCACGTATTGTTACACGGCAATCGAATCCCGACGTTCTATAGAAAAAAAGCAAATCCTGTTGATTCAATGATAACAAGTATCAATCACTTCGATACATCGAACGCCTTGATTAATTGCTTAATTACGAGTAATTGTCGTTATCTAGTCTGAAATTCTCGCACCGATGCCCCCAAAATATAGTACAATCGCACAGTCTGGTTTTGTTTCTGCGCACTTGTCTAACACACTCAACGCAATTAAAGTGAACACTGTTTACTGTACCATATCTGCTAATGGTATTTACCAATAAACGTCACGAACTACGAATGCTATGTTCGTATACTCTCCAATTGCACGGAACAAATCTGAAATCATTAAGCACGATTTGTTTCTGTAGATCAAATAATTGTATTTCAAGTGTGTCAACAAATCTTGGAAATCGCTCATTTGTCAACTTTCAAAAAAAATGCGGATGACTCTCGAAAACACTGAATGAAACTTACTTCATGCAATTACGACTACAGTTTAAACATATATTTATATGTATAGTATTTTAATATTAAAAATAGGTTTACCACTTCCACGAAAAATAAAGTATACGTAATTTAGGAAAAGGACACAGGGGTATTCCGCGGTCTAGAAACATTTTTTACGGAGCCGCTTTTACTTCCCTCCATCATGCAATGCATCACATTCTAGCTCAAAACGAACGCCGTTTACAAAATGATTGCTGGATAGTTCTAATGCACGATGTCAAGGATTATTTTGCAGATTAGCGTGCTCTTTAATCGATCCAAACATTGTGTATACGAAGTCTTAAGCAACCATATTAAAATGAAGGCGTTCGTCACGCAGCGCGCGTTCGAATCCCGTATTCAATCAATGCGTCTTGCACGCGCGGTGTGCACCGAGTTGGACACTCATCGAGAACGAACCGAAGCAAAGCTTGAAAATAACTTAGCTTAATGGACCAAACCAACTATTCGAAGAACTGCATACCAGAAATTGATAATTATGCACGGTGTGCAATGTTGTACACAGAAATAAGTTTAATCAATCTTGTTTTACTACCGAGATATTAACATCTGACATGGACATTCATTGGATCGTCTTTGTCTGTTACGTGCACCTGTGATGTAGCCGACGTATTCGTTTTTTGGATTAACGACGATTTATTCTGAACTGAAATATGTCGTATTGATTTAAATTCCTGTATTTCCACATTTGGAGAATTTTTTCGTATTTAACAACCTACATCGAGTGCTGTATGAACGATGCAATGTTTTCTGGTTAATTGTAAAAAAACAACAACACTAAAATACATGTAATTAAGTCCACACTATTTTACAGAGAATCTACTTTGATCAGGGTACAACACGCCTAGTAACTACAAATGAGATATGGCCTAAACTAAAATGTGCTGCATAGAGATCCAATTTCATGCTTTAAAGCAAACAATGATACGATTGCGTATATTACGCCGAAGACTAATATTTCAGTCTATGCCAACGACATGTTCTGAATTTAAAACGCAGTTACACGATTATGAGTGACAGTGATTGTATTTACACGCCCCATTGACTTCTTGAAATCGTCTCAAAAGAGGAACCATATTCTTAGCATATTGTATCAGCATAACTCATAATTGGAAAACTATATTTTACGTCAAATGATTACAGTGAACCCCGTGAGACCGTCTGTGTTTTGAGTTACCATACGCATGACAGACTGCAGATTATAATCTATTCATATCTCGCAATAATCACATCGTAATATCGTATTCACAGTCTGAATCCCAGTTCTCATGAAAACAAAAAAAAAAACAAAAAAAAAAACGTACGTATGAAGCTGAGAGGCAGGTAGCCATAAGCTTATAACATATATGCTGAGTATTTATTTTATTGGTCATTTTGTAATCTGTATTTTAAATTCAATTCTCAACTGACAACTACTAAATGATATTAATCATATTTTCTTTTAAAAAATAGTTCATATACTTGTCTGTTTTCATAGGTACTAGTAGGCTGGTCGGTGATGTACACGTATTCTAAGTCTTATGACAAATGTATGCCACTCCCTTTCCCGGCGTTCAGTCAAAGCAAACTATATAATCAGTGTATATTAGTACTTTATATGCACGCTGTGCATCGTGGTTAACGGTCGGGTTACGACCGAAATAAACTTTTAATCAAATTTGTTTTACTACCGCATTATTACCATCTGATATGGACATTTATCGCACCATTTATGGCTATTACGTATACTTTCGAAGCCAAGGCAATCATTCTTGGACTAACAACGGTTTATTCGTGTTATTCCTATATTCGCGTTCTACATTTTATATTTGATGACTTTGTTTGCATGTATATGACCAACCTACATCGATTGTTACATAATTGTAAAAAATAATCAGCGGCGCTGAAGGTTTGAACCATGGAAACCGCTGAAATGTAATATGGTCACATTATGAAATAACGCGCGCAATATGAAGCCCCATATCATGCACCTAGATCACTGTTGCAAAAGCCCTGTGACGGCAATTATAATATTCCCTGAACTAAATGTCGGTGTTGTATCCTAACAAGTGCGGTATCAGAATATTATGATTTTCTATAGTGGATTATGTTACGGTTAGAACAACAACAACCTATTAAGGTCGCTCAGTTTCATGAACGAATTTGAAATTGTTTTGATATTTTTCAAATAGATTGTTAAGTGTTATACAAGGTTATATGTGAAAAAGTAGTTAGGATCACGTACCAAATCTTGAAATAAACTTGATATAACTTTAAGTGGATTATAGAGTTAATTGTACGTTTTTAGCCATATTCTAATGAGGCAGTAGAACGTGCTCTCCTTAGCGTCAAGTTAGGACCAATCCTCGTTCACCACGTGGATAAATACAACATTGAATGTGTTGATTTCAAAACGAAATAATGTTGGTACGTGCATGCATGGTGGTCAGAAAATCGATTAGACTTCCATAATCGTCACATATAGTATGGAATAAATAAAAGACATTAGAAACATAATAATTTCAACATTGTACCTTCAAAAAAAACGAGTCGAAGATAATGTCGAATCACTTGCGCACGAGCCTGCGCAAAAAGCGAAAAAAAAAAATGATCGTGCCAACAACGTGTCATGAATTATAATGCATCGTACGACCATAGGCTACTCGGCGCTGCTGAGTAACAATAATTACATTCCTATTATATCAGCACGGCTACGTAAAAAAAATATCTAGAAATCAGAGACTACTCCCTTCGCGAGTAATACATTAGTCTGATTTATAATCGGGAAGCTATATAGCACATCAGCTACTTCAACGCAAGTCTTGTGAGACCATGATCCGTTATAAGGATATACCAAATGTCCTGCCGACTCGGAGATAACTGCGCATTAATAATCTATACATATCGTGTAATTATCGCAGCGCAATATCTTATTTCTAGTCAGGAAATCGGTTATTACATATATAAATAAACGTACATATGTAAGAGACAGATAGCAATATGGTAATTTAGAAATTATTCTGAGAATTTTCTATTTAATAATTATAATCTGCACTAAGTTTAATTTCCGAGTGGAATAATCTGCAACGACTGATTCGTTTTGGCGATGTACATATGAATTTATTATTATTATTATATGGCATAGTCCACAGTGTTGGTGAATTGCAATGTCACATAGGTACCGTACGATAGCTGAAATCGAATATGTTAGGCATTGAAAAAGTCACTATATATTTTTTTTTTATTTCGTTTCTTCCTATCGCCGAAAAATGCTGATGTAATGCAAATGATATACAAAGTAAATGTACGGGATTGTAACCAAGGTCAAATAATAGCAGTTCTGTGTATTCACAATCAGTGACCCGACTACGTGGGATTGTCACCATAGCGACGTGTGTGTTTTTTTTGCCCCGGCGGGCCCAGCTTCGTGCATTCGCCTACACCAACATGACTGCATTTCTGTGAATTTCTCAACAGCACTAATGGTTGAAAATTTTCATTATTGTAATAACGTTTTTTTAGTGTTGAAAATCCGCAGCTCGCTACGAGATTAATATTGTCACATTGGTGTGCACGTAAGACTCGTGTAAATGCAGGCAATGTTAGGGTATGCTATATATTGCACGATATTATGTACAACGACCTTTCGTAATGCTCAACGCATCATTATAGCCCTTGAAGTGATATTGTACCCTGTTTGACCCAATGATCTCAGCTCCAATGAAAAAATTCACGAATTCACCAACAGCGTCAACAGTGACATTAACAACACTCATTGAAAGAGCGGTGGACGTTGGAGCAGAACCGCGTGACGTCACTCCTGTGCGCGCTAGAGGCGCACACACGAGAATCCCCACAATACTCATAATAACAATCTCTGTTTCATGTTTCAGTCTGCTTACAAAGATTTTGCCTGATTGGCCTTCCAACCCTAACAGTCAACAATCAGACCAATCGTAGAGCTGCTTGTATGTCAGTTTTTTAAACGTGTCAAATTCTACCTTGTATATGCGCTTCGACTCAACTGCATCACACTTGTATTTTTAACGGTCATATCATATATATTTTCCAATAAAAAGACAGAATGTTATTGTACTTATCCTTGATATTCCTTTCAGCAAACAGTCACTTAATGGAACTACTTTGCAAAGTGTTTTGCATTCCCATATTGATTTATTCAACCGCCATCCGTTCAAAGCGGGGGGGGGGGGATTCGTCACATATGTTTACAAACAAGCGTCTACCCATGAGCCTTTGTGTTTTTAGCGTGTGTTGTTATCATCGCTTGGGACTCAATTCCCGCGCGTGCAGACTATTATGTTCATTCATTTTATGAACGGTGTGCCACAATTTTTCAGTTTCACAAGAAAAAACGTTATCAATAAAAATAATAATAATAATAATAAACAATGACTCACCACATCGTCCTCGTACGTGAAATTATAATCTCGCTTAGCCCTCCTCTTAACCTCCTCCGAAAACTCCACATACTCGTCACTTGTGGGAGTCAGCAACGTCACCGTCATCAGTGCTTCATACGCCTTTTTCGCTTCCGCATCTCTGCCGTCGTTGCGTTTCCACGGAAAGTCTCCATACTTGGGATCCCGGTAAAGCTCGATGTTGAAGAACGCGTACTCGCCCGTGGTCATACCGTGATCGTACGCGTGCAGCATAATCTCCCTCACTTCGTCCGCAGAAGCGCATATGATGATAACTATAACAAATCAAAAAAAAAAGGATAATATTTAATATAATAAATAATTAGCTAATATATGACGGCTAAGGTTAAGCGTTAAGCTTTTAGGAGAGAATTGCCACAATTGATTTTTTTTTTCTGAGGCAAACACAAACTTCATTAAGTTATTGGCTTATATGGCACGGGAAACTTCAAGTCTTTAGTATTTCGGTGACCTAAAATAAAATGTGTGTAGACATGTGTTAACGCATTCAATCATTCCTTTCAATTACCCATGGTATGCATCGAGTTTAATGAGAGATTGGCTGCGATAAAAGCATCGGTAAGAGTAACTGCATTGTACGTATGTCTAAGTAATGCATATAGCGAGTAACGTCCTTTGAAGTTTGATCCACTTTAATCTATCCAGGTACAAACACTGTATTGTTTGTATCTCATCTCGTTAACGCTCACCACAATAACATAATGCGAGGGGACATTACTATTACCTCCTGTATTCATTCAGGTATGAGTCCCGTTTGAATTTTTTTTTTTAAAGTTACAAACGCATTATATCAACCCCATTAATGTACGCCTTCTGTGCGGACAATGCAATGTAATGTAGTCACGTTTTCTGAGTATATATACTTTATCTGAAATGTACAACTAGTTATGTTTACATATAATTACTAGGTATTCGGGCATTAATAATTCAGTTCATAACCACGTGATACT